TGTAAAAAGCTTGATTATTATTATTATTATCATTATTATTATTATTAATAATCCTGCCTGTGGTGCGTTCAGGTGCACTACGAGTCCAGCACTGTCGGGTTACTGTAGTGCAGTGTCTGTTTAATACCCTGCTGTCATATAAAGGAGTTAAAAAACCCTTTAATTGAGTGAATTAAATTAAAACTCACACTTTCTGAACGGGCTTCTTCCTCCTCTTCACCGCGTAAACTCCACTGCTCCCCGGCATGGTGGCGGCCAACTTTCTCTTTGCTTTCACTTCAAAGAAAAACCTCCAAATATTCACATAAAGAAAGAAAAGTTTCTGACTGTGCAGACACACCCTGAATGTTTCCTCTGCAGGTTAGTTCTTTTAATCCGACCCAGGAGGGGAGATAATCCACATTTTCTGCAGTCTAGCGGGGTTTGTACAGCCACCCTGTCGGCCAGAGGACAACATTTAAAAAACTTTCCAAGTTCAGCAGAAACACACCTCATCCAGTCCGGATTCAGCCAATCAGAGCAGCCGTAGCATCCCCCGCAGCTCTGAGTCACCGTCTCTGATTGGTGGAGACTTCCCCTTTGTTTATCCTCGTCCTGTACTGTAAATACACACACTGAACATTTAATATATTCTATACTTTACCCACTGACAGCCACAGCTCACGTTGTTTCGCTCCTAAGGTGTAAAGTTTGAGATTTTATGATGTTTTCTGCTTCCTGAAAAATGTTATTTAACCTGTAACTCCATCCAGTGGCAGAGGCAGTTATTACAGGTAATACTGGAATAATAATACAATAAATAGTAATATATAAGCATGAAAACTATCTGTATATTACATTATATTATAAATCAAAGTGTTTTTGTCATTGCAATTTGAAGAAATGTCATATAAAACCTTAATAACAACTGGGAAAATAGTATTTTATCTCATCCCCACTCTAATTTATCATATATAAGACATAGGACACTTTAAAAACAACATAATAAACAAAAGATAATAAATACAAGTATTAACATATATATATAGATATCTAAGTATAAAGCTTGAGCACCTACATTTTAACCCACTTATACCAGCCTCATTAATCAGAATCGCAATTATACTAAATATGATAATTAAAATCCTTCAGAAATCTTATTTTGTTTTGTATTATTGTCTGAATATTAATTCTAATTTAGAAATTTCATAGGAAATTCATAACATGTTATTTAAAATACACATTTAAGTCGGTTCAGAACTGATACCTAAATTATTTCTTAGATGTTTTTGGTTCAAATCCAGTAAAAAGAAGTGAAAACTTAAGTAAGTAATATATCATAACATATATATCGAATTAAGACCCAAGCTGGGGGCCACCAAAGCGTCACAGGGGGTCCTGAGACCTTCTTGATTTTAAATGTAAATAGTCTAATACATAGACGGTGACATATTTTATAGATATTTTACATTATATTCAAAACCGTATATCATTTTAGTCCAATTCTGTGAAGAAAACTAAATGAAATTGTTAACTTAGATAGAAAAATATATACTAAAAACTCCTTAAACCATCAGAAAACCCCCCTCAGATGTAATATTATACAGTAAAATAATCTGCTCGTTTTACACAAACCTCCTACAGTTATTGTGTTCACTATTTGGGTTCATTGTACAGTTGTTAATATTAATAAAATATATCACTTAGTCAGTTTATTCCATGACAGAAACTGAAACTTCCCAGCGCTCTTATTTTGAAGGACAGTCGCTCCGACCGGAAGTCGTCCCCTCTCACGCCGACCTGCCGTTTGAAGCTGCGACGACGACGTTGCACCTTTATATCGGTATATTAAAGAGCTGTTAACAAGAGCGACCCGACGTTTATCACCAATATTAGGTATAAGAGAAGTTAATGTACATTATTTATCCACAGTGTTCCTGTGACGGAGCCACGCAGCGTTTGGACCCGGTGAGACATCATCCACAGGACGGACAGGTGAGGTCGACAGGTGTTTATGTCTTATTAACCAACCAGAATATCCTGTCTCTTATCTTTTTAATTGTTTGTTTAACTGTGTGGGGGTCTGCTGTTGTTGTCTGACTGTGTTAAACCGACCACTTCCTGTATTAACAAGCTGCTTTATGATGCAGTTTGTTAAATAATATATAAGTACTGTATAATACAGGTGAACTAATGCATCTCTCTTACTAAGTGACATCTCCAAAGGGGCGTTTACTGACTTTCTTTGAGGGGTGGCTTCAAGTATGTGTTTCAGCTTTCCAGACATTTCCACTTTATGTAGTTTAAACACTGTTTATGGACACTCAGTGTGCAGAAACTACATAAAGTGGGGCATTTCTGCAAAGCTGAGCCCATTTTCCTCAGATATCTCAGCTACAACATGTTAGATTCATATAATATCTTCACTGTAGCTTCAAAACATTTCCCCGTTACATCCTCTGATGAGACGAGTGGACATAGTGGAAGAAGGGAGGACAATGAGGTGGCCAACAAAGTTCATATCTTTCCAAACTAACACATATTTTTTGTTCTGTGGTTTCAGAGGAGACAGGATGTTGAACTGCAGCCCATGGGCTCTTCTTCCGCTCACACACTGTGTGCTCACCACTGCTGGACTGTGGCTGGTGTAAGTTCTGATAGTTATAGGAATAACTTATAGCAAACTAATCTTAAAGAGACCAAAAAGACTGCAAACAGACACAAAACAAGTACAAAAACACGCAAATTACTACAAAAAGAGACACAACGACTGCAAGGAAACACAAATTACTACAAAAAGATACACATTTATGTATTGTTTATATATATAAATATATATAAAGAAAGTCTAATGGACCATTATGTAAACAACTATATGAGATATGATGAAGGAAACATCACAATAAAGTATTAAAAACATCTATTAATCTTTAATATTCTGTTCCTTGTCTATGTTTTGATGCATTTTAATAGATACTTTATTGCTGTGAGTGATGAGCGTATAGCACCACTGGGTTCAAAATACAGGTAAGAATGAAACAACATTACATACAGCAGATAATGACATATATTGATATTTGTTAATTAAGCTTTTTGTGCTTTTAGGAGAAGAAATGGATCCTTTTATCCTCCATACATCAGGTACACACTCGTGTTTCATATTTAAAAATAAAAGTTTATATTCTGTATTTTAGAACAGCAAACACAAATGTTTTTTTCCCATCACTTTCAGTATTGCCGGCAACTTTCCACCAGCCAGCTGCTTCTTCAGCGAGGTCATGAACTTGTCTGCGTTTCTGGGTGAGAGCAGCGATCCACCATCGTGTTAATCATGTTAATACAGTTGTAATACTCTGATATTTAAAGGATAAGACTGACGATTAATTCTCAACGAACCCATGAAAAGACCAAAACTAAGGATGTGGAAAATACTTTGTGCCTTCCTGTCTGTGGCACAGAGGAAGAAGATATTTCAGGCTTTGACAGTGTATATAATGAACAGAGCGTCCAGGTCTGTGAAGTGTCTTAAACCTGCATTCTATGTAACGGCCAGCAGGAGGCGGCTCCATTATCATTCAGTCTTATGGAGAAATGAGCTGACTTTGCTCTTGATTTATTCCCTCAGTAAA